CCAATTTCTACATTTAAAACTACTTACATGAGATACTGACTTTGATCCTCGGCAAAGAGTTGTTAATAAACTAATAACTGTTGATATAGATTGTGAAGATTTAACCTCAGAAGTACATGTATTTGAATTTAATCCTGAAATAAATAATAAATAATACTTAATGTTAAATTTTGAAAATATGCCTATTTTATGTAAAGCACTAATAATTTAGTTGTTGATCAAACATTTTTATATCAAAAATTAATTTTTATTATTATTTAAAGTGATCAGCTGAACATTGCTATAACAATTTTTTAAATATATTTGTTAATAAATATATTGCATCGAAATATAATTATATAGTGTAAATATTACAATTTTAAATAAAATTATACAAAAAAAATTAATGTGTTAGTAAATTAAAATAATCATAAAAAAAAAAATTTATTTTTCAATTAATTAATTAAGTTAGCTAACCAGGTGTTCCAATGCTAGTTACTGCTGGTCCAGCAGCAGAAGATAAACGGAATAATAACTCATTTAAAAGACCATGTTGAGCTAATGGTGCAGGATCTATTCCACGTCTTGTAAATCTATCAGATAGTGATGCAAAACATCTTAATGCTCCATCAGAGACATGAGGATCATCATGTTTAAGCATCGTTGAGAGAGATTCAACACATGTTAGCAATGATGTGTCATTTGGTTCCATTTTAGTACACAATCTTGAGACAACAGTCATTGCAGAATGTAATGTATCTTTGTGTACACAAGAGCCTGCTTCACTAATAAATAACAATACAGAGCTTAAGCCTCCTGCCTCAAACACTGCACCAGCTTCTCGTGTACATATAAGTTCCAGCACCTTAAAGTTTAACGGATCACATTAAATTTAAAAACCCAACAGATATATCATCATTTTATGGACCTACCTTACAACATTGCTCAGCTAAATCTTTATTTGTACGTGAATTAATGTCAGTTACTACTAGTCGATTACAGATAGCTTTTAGTGCTCCATCAATAGCAACAATACGTCTTGTACACTCAGCTGACACATCTAAATAGTAAGTAATAGCACGGGCTGTAACTTCTAATACACTGTCAGGAGCACTTTCATCAAGAAATATACGACACAAAGCAGGTAAAAAGGACCGAGGAGGACAACTATTAAAAAAAATAAGATGTCAATTAAATTTAAAATATTAAAAATTGAATAACAACTTACACTTCAAAACATCTATCTACATTATCAGACATTAATAGAAGCATACAGAGTTGCTCTAAGGCAATAAGTTGCATGTCTCTTTCATCACCTTGACCCATGTTGAGCCACTCAAGAAGAGTTTCTGGATCGACATCAGCCATTATCACAATTTTTTATTAATTGTAAATACTTCAGTGTCAATGCTACAAATAAAATATTTAAACAAATATATATTAAATTTATAAAATAGGTAATAAACTTGTCCTTATTTAATTAAAAGTACAACTGTTATAAAGATAATTTATTTAATAAACTTATATATATATATATATACACACACAAATATACAACTTCAATAATATCTATTATTAGAAATTATAACATTTACAATATATAGTTTGATTATCATGTAAATCAATAATTTGGTAACAATTAACTTGAAACTTTTGACCTAATCATTAAAGGGTATTAGGAAAATTAAACATTTCAAATAAAGATGTTGTAAGTAATCAAATAATTTAATTTATAATTTAGATATCACATTTGCTATAAATTCAATGTATAAAAAAAATTTATACTGATAACAAACAACAAAATTGTATTATGTTAATAAAATTTAACTGATAAGAAATTTTTATATTACACTAGTTTATATAGCAATGTTTTAAACAGCTATGTTAAACTGTAAAATAAAAAGTTTCAAAAATTCAGAACATTTTTCATCAGATAAAAACTTTAACTTAAGAAACAAAACTAATCCAATAAATAAATAATTATAATAACTGAATTAATCATAATACATAATGAGTTATTTTAGTAATTTAAACGATAACTATAATTTTATAGTTCATTTTTAATTTGTACTGATATAATTATTCAATTTTAAGTGGCATCTTAAAATACATGTAAAATAATACTTTACTAAAAATTATAATTTATAATACATAAATATTGGGAAAAATAAACTCTTCAACTAAACTTAAATCAAACTATAAATTAATTAATATCATTAGCTAATATATTTTACTAGAATATTCCACAAAATGTATTGAATTATTTTAAGATATGCTTTTAAAATGTCAAGTCTTAATTAAAGTACAAATTTGATTTTGTTGAAAATAATTTTGATAAAATGTAATTAATATAGTATTATTAAATTAATCATTCTACTTATGCAGTTAAGCATTATTATGATGACATAAACTCATGATATGTGTAAACAACTTTAATATAAAAAATTATTAACACAAAGAAAATGTTAAAATATTAATTAAAACTTATGAACATATAAAAGATAAATTACCAATAATTTCGCTAATAATTGATGTAACGAGTAAATTGATGCCATATTAAATGCATGGTTACAAGAACTTGTGCTTTGATGAAGAATTTGAAAAAATTCCCTTAGAATTTAATGACACTATAGAATATGGAGCCAACNTTCCCTTAGAATTTAAAGACACTATAGAATATGGAGCCAACCAATTTCCACATCTAATGACTTAACTATAGGAAACAATATAAAATTTTATAATTATACATTTGTATCATTGATAATTTTTTCGCACACAAGTCACAACAAAAGGAGATTGTACAATATCATTACTCAACACTAAACTTATTAGTAGAAATGGTACCATTGACGATCTGAAATATCACGATAAGAAAGGAGGGGGTATTGTAAAAATAAATTTATTGTTTCGGATGCTAAGTTAAAATCGACTGCGCGTAATACAACATACACAAAAAAAACTTAATATCTAAAAAATAAACATGACACCTTAACCTACAGTTTTTCAAAAATTTGTTAAGTATTCTAGTTTTTAATGAAATTCTGATTTTCTTTTAAGCCGTAAATTCACTCCTAACAGATACTTTCTTGAAAAAAATAAAACAGCTGAGTTAAAGCCTGATTGTCATATGTTTTTATCATTTCATGTCTATGTTATCATCTATTATTATCACTTTTAACCATAGAGTAATATATTACTCTAAGATTTTTACTATGATCATAGATAAACAACAATAATCGTGCATTTATCAGGTAGAATGTTGACATTATTCAATATTTAAAAGTTATTATAATTTTGTGTCAACCCTTAAAATAAATATTTTCATTAGTCAAAAAAATAATGAACAACATAAAAATACCCATATTTCTATTGAAATAAGTGAATACTTTAATGATTTATAATTAATTATAATTTTATCTTGTGTAATTCATATTGTAATTATTTTAGTAATATTAATAATGTTAAGCAACTACGAAATACACGTTCTATATTTATTTTATAATGAAATTTTTGGATGTATTTGCACTATGAATAGTTGTGAACATTTTTTAAAATAAATTATAACACTGTTTTATAATATTGAATTTTTGTAAGCTTTGATTTTCATTTTATACGGTTGTCAATGTGTTTATATTTTATTTATAATTAGTGATATGTATGTAATAACTTTTTATGTATTGTAAAAATTTACTCAAAGTTAAGAGATTAAAAACGGAACGCAAAATTGTTTATATTGCGCATTACGTTTATTTATAATTCTATATTTAAATCATAATTTACTTCCATTAAAAAATAATACTATTTTAGCCTTTGCTTGCCAGATAAAGTTGATTTCTGGCGTTAAAATATATTTAACTCATTGTCAGTAACGCATTTAATATTATGATTTCAAAAATAAATATGTGCTTTTTTTTAATATAATAATAACATGTATGTACAGGTTGGGTTTAGGTTGAGTATAGGTGTTCTTTTTCCCCTTCTTCCTCGCCTTAATTCCAACTACTTGTGGTCGGCCACCTTTATCCCAAACTTCCACTTGACACGATCTCCCACATCATCTACGCTTACATCAGCTGTCCTCATATCGCATTCAATAGCATCCCTCCATCTCTTTTTTGGTCTTCCTCTACCTCTCCTTCTTTCATTTCCATATCTGTTCTTACAGCTTCCAATTCTTCTCTCCTCATAACATGACCAAACCATTTAAGTCTATTTTCTCTCATCTTATCCACGATTGACGCTACACCTATATTCCCTTTATCTTTTTTAGTCATTCCACTCATCCATCTAAGCATTCTCATCTCTACTATACTCATTCTCTGCTCTACTTTCTTATCAACCGCCCAACACTCTGAACCATACATCATAGATGGCCTTATTACAGTCTTATAAAATTTACCTTTCAAGTATAGGTGAAAAATATAAATAATTTCCAAGGAGGCTAAAATTAATTTTTTCTCTTCTTAAAAATATTTTTACAAAAAATATATATGATTTTTTTAATTTTATGTGGATTAATTTCCAGGCTAAGGCTAAGCATCCAAGTATCCAACCTTACCTTACCTGTTTTTAGGTATCGGTAACTATAGTTATAACTCAGCTATATTTACAAAAGTTTCAATATAGTATTTTCTAAATTATTTTTATTTTGATATCTTACTATCACAGCTGTCCTTAAGTAAGAAGCCATAGAGCCTCGCACTTGTTACAAATTGTGATAACACAGATGTTATTACAATTAATTTTGCTCAGGTCCTCACAAATTATAAGAATGTTATTACTCATTTTTATTGAATAAATGATAAAAATTATATAATATTCAAGATATTGTGAAAAATTGCAAGATACAAAATCATAGACTATTAATATGCTATGGTAGAGACAGGAAAAAAAATCACTGTTATGTGTAATAGAAGACTTAAAATAAAAATTTTTGCATGAAAAGTGAACTTTGCAATTTACATTAAAAATTTTTTTCTAATATACGAAATACAAATTACTTTCATGTAAAATAAAAAGTCTATGTACATGTCATTTCCGTTTTTAAATATAGTTAACTTTAAGTTCATCTGTGTATTATAGAAGAATATTATTAGTTTATTGATAGTAATACTTACATTTTACTTAAATACATTTGGCTTAGCCAAAAACTGAAGGGTTTGTAGCCCCCATTATTTTTTAATGCAAAATATTAAAATTTGTTTACGTCATTATTTTACTTATGTTATATTCATTATTTATACATTTCTAATGTCTGATTATGAACATTAATATCGTCTTCACTTTTAAGATAATCCTATTTTAGCCTAATATATTAAACTAAATTGTTGCGAGAACTCAATGATAACTTACTATATGAGATCTCATTGAAAATAACGTGCTATTTAACAATTTTTACATTTGTAGCACTGTAAGAAATATTCCAAAAATTCTCATGTGTCAGTATGATATTTTTAAAATATAAAGAAGTATTGTAAGTTTGACATAATTTATAAAAAATTCGTACACAAATATAAGATTTTTATCACTATTTATCGAAAATCCCTCTTACATTGTATGCGTTAAAAACTTTCAGTGCATGTATGATATTATTCAGAATTTTTTTTAGATTATGTCTTCTTCTATTCCTCGACTTTATCCCAACTACTTGGGGTCGGCCACCTCTATCCTTAACGATCATTTGACACAATCTCCCACATCAGCTGTCCTTATATCACATTCAATAAGATCCCTTCATATCTTTTTGGTCTACCTATACCTTTCCTTCTTTCATTTCCATAACTGTTGTCGCAACTTCCGATTCCATTATCCTCATAACATGACTAAACCATCTTAGTCTATTTTCTCTCATCTTTTCCATGATTGACGCTACACCTCTACTCACATTGTTTTATTAAAGTATATATCAAAATAAAATAGTACAAATGTCATAACTTATTGAAAATTGTCCCTTGTCGACACAATTATTATGAGTGACAGGATTATTCTGAGACTTTTCTGATTTTTTAAATATATCGAGATTTTCGGTAATAAAAGTGAAATTCGAAAAATTGTTCATAACATGTTATCATGTTTAGTTCAAATTTCAATTGTTGACATAGAGATTTTGGCATTCATTTATTTATACTGTACTTGTTTGATAAAAAAAACGATTTTGATAATAAAAAGGTTTTTATTTCGAGTGCAGTTAAGTAACTAATTATTAATAGTTAATAAATGTCATTTACGAGGAAATTACAATAATCGCTTGCCGCCGAGTGCTTAATGAACACATAGTAATTTTACAATAAATACCGTATATGAGGTACCACTGATGGGAGTATAAAGGTATCGTAGCCATAACTGGACATCTGCGTATGGTTTTAGATGTGTACTGAGCATCTACCGGCAGTCTGCGTTGTGCGCTCAGTGTATGCGTTCTGCGTACGAATATTGCGGTTAGTGCGTACTCTTGTGTGTGCTAGTGCGATTTTTATAATTTTCTGTGCTTTGGATATTTTTTGTGTAATTAAAAATTACGTTGTGTATGAGTGCGCGAGTTTAAGTTTTTTAATTAAACGCTTAAGTTTTGCTGTTGCCAGGAGTGACGCGCAGAGACCACCCTAAGATGGGGTCCTGCAAATATTTCATTCTTTTAGCTTTGGCTTTCACATCTTCATCGAAGGGTAAATAATTTTCTTACTTGTTAAATCCTATTATTTATTATCAACAATTATTAAAAATAAGATTGGGCATTATGCACGTAAACTACGGCTGTACTTTTTTACTGAATCCAATATAACAATTTTTTACTATTAAACTTGTACTAATTACATTTATTTACTTATTGTTACCCTGTTTTTTACTTTGAAAATTATGATAGAATTTTTTTATTTTATCAATTTCGATTTGAATTCTATATTATTTTATTAGTGGATGAAGAATAGTTTTATTAAAACTATTTTGTTATATTGTTAAATTTAGAAGATGATTTTGAAAACGTATTGCTGTTGGTTTGCCATGTAACTGTAGGTGATATTAAAACTGATTCTCTTGAAAACATTAACTTATTTCTATTACGTCATAGATCGTATTCAAAATAGTAAACGCTGTACTTTTGACCGACAGGAAGTTTCAGTTTTTACATGCATATAGTATACACTAGTATAATGAATGGGGTGAGCGTGTGAGTCATGAACCTCATCGACCGAATGGGGGCGTTCTGTTCTGATGCACATCATACGGAAGATATCTGAGAATTCCTGTACACCCTTGAATAAAATTAAATATAGACACAAATCCCTTTAAAATATCACTAGAAAATAGTATCATGTCTATTAATGTTTGTGTTGCATTAATTGTATAAAAATAATTTATAATGAATAAAAACTATTTGTTAGTGCTTATTTAATTATTTGTTTCTAAATATATAATCAAGAAAAAATTATTGACTAATAAAGAAAACAAATTAATCCATCTTGGTGTTTATTTTGAATATTATGTAGAATAATTTGATTTTCTGACAGCCTTAACGTTTATTTTTGTGTGTATACTTATTTTATTTGCCAGATATTTTTAATAATTAAATTTTCTTTTTCAAAGTAGTCAATTTGAATTAATGTCTATCAACACATAGATATCATATTTATAAAAATAAAATATTAATTAGAATATGAATATGAATATAAAATTAAGGTCACGAATAAAGTTTAATATGTTTAAATTTTCTTACTAAATTTTAATATTTTAATTTCGTAAATAATAATTTAATTTATAGTTTTTTTGAAAAAGAAATTAATTTATCAAGTTCAGATGTTATAAAAATATAAGCTCTTGAAGAATATATTCTAATAACCCATTACATTTGATTTTGAAAGATTTTTTCTTTTAATTTGGTTAAGTTGATAATCATTGACTTAAATATTGATAACGAATTGTCATTTAATTAAAAATTTTATGGAAATATGTTTATACAGTAAAATTTATATGTTACGCTAAAATAACAAGGCATTTTATAGATGTCATTATTTATTATATTATTTTAAACAAGATTAAATTCTAAATACTTTGAAATGTTTAATACATTTATAATAATTCAAAATAGTAAATTAAATCATATTTATTATAGTTAATTTCAATTCAAATTATTTTTATCTTAATCTATGTATTAAATGAAAAATACATTTTGTTAAAATATTTTTTATTAAATGTAAAATTTATACATTTTTACATAGAAGGTTCTAACTAAAAAGTAAAATCATATGCTAATTTCATTAATGTTTGTTATTGGAATTAAAATAGTGTACATCTTGAATTCCGCTGTAAGAGCAACCCTGTCTGGTCTGTGATCACGAGGCAGTAGTTCACTGGTCCCCACGTTCCCATGACAACTGCTGCTTGGATCCTGTTGCCGTCCAAAACAAAATCCTTAAAAAACGTCACCTATTTAGACATTCCAATATTTTCATAACGTCACGTGCGTTTGAATTTTCGTTTGTAGTACATTAAAGCATTACGGTTAGTTAACGTTTAATACAATAAAACATGTTAAGTTCTTTGATAAGGATTTCTACATTGAATTATTATTTATTAAACGTAATGTATTCTAGCGTATTCTTTCAGGTGTAGATATTAATGTCTGCGTTTTCCAGCACAAATTTTAATGAATTTATTATTTATAAAATACAGGATGGAATAGATATAACTATAGGTGGATAAATATGGCGGTGTTATAAATTGCCACTAGTACGAGTTGTTCCATATGCGTTATATATCCTCTTTATGTATTAAAATTTTTGTAATTCAATAATTACTCATTCCAAAATTGTGATAAACTTATTAATCATTTTTGTAAGAAAATTGCTTAACACTAGTTATTTTAATAATTTTGAAACATATAAATATATAGATGGAATACACAACCTTTATAACTTATGATCTATATAACATTTTATATATTTTTTTAAATTACACTATAGTTCTATATTTAAAATTGTTTTATATGATATTTTTAACAATTACAAAAAATAATTTTTTTATTATAATTTTTTTCAAGATTTAAAAATAGTCATTTTATAGATAAGTTATAAGGAAAAATTATGATACCGATAACTTTTATCTTAGTTCAGAAGTTACGTTTCTACAAAAATTTGATATTTAATAAATTTAGAATTTTTTTACGATTTTTCAATTGTACTAAACGTTTGTACACGTTTGTAAAAGACGGAAATAAATATTTATTTTATTTATTTACTGGCGACAGTAGCGATTTCTTTTCCATGAAAATTGGTAACGTTCAAATGAGCATCTGTAACCTGACGTCAAAACACAACAATAAGTAGAAAATTAAGTTAATAAAAAAAAAATGTTATCTAAAACATGTTAAGTTTTTTATTAAATTGGTTTATATTTCATAAATAAACGTTAATAATGAATAACCGCATTTATTATCAAATCTCCTAACAAAAAATATTGTATAATAATATGATATCAATAATAGAATCACCCAAATTAATAATTGTAATCACTGTTAACAATGCCAACCATTGAACATTAGTAGTTGACCTACGAAAATGTATCTAAAATTTTGTATAAAGATTCGAGATAATTATTTCTGTAAAAAGCTGGATACTATTAAAAAAATATATTATTTTATTACTTTATAAAAATAATAAAAAATATGACAAATACAGTCTAAGAACGCATAAATTATTAAAAAAATTTAGACAACAAATCTTAATGGTATTATATAAGTTATAAGAGTTGTCAGTTAGATCTGTCGCATTTTGTTTAATATAATATATTGTTTCTTATAAGTTTCTTATATATATTATTATAATAAAATCATTGATTTTTTTTTTTTTGGTAAACCATTTAATAAATAAGGGTTTTTTGTTTTGATGGATTTTTAAGTTATCGTTTTTGATAATAATAAAGTTTTTACACGTGTTTATCGGTTTTGACGTAATCTGGATCGAGGCCCTGATATTAAGGAACCCCTAATGTTTAAAGGTGTTTGAGAACTATTTTATTTTATTTTGTTGACTTATAACTTAGCGATCAAAACATTTATAGAAGTTTTTCTTAGTAGCATAAACACAGATAGTAATTTGAATTTCGCTTAAGTTCCAAAGATCAAAACATTTTTTTTAATGTAACTATTATACAATGATGTAATATGAATTATATTCATATATTTTTTTCTGATATCTATAGTATTTTAGCTATAGTTGTAGCCCTTTCGATGGTTATTTATTATTATTAACAGTATATCATTTTAGCATTAGTAATAGTGTGTGTTAAACTAGAAAAAATCATTAGACCCCGAGCAAAAATCCTGGCTACGTCTCTGACTATGATTAAAGTAAAATATACTTATTATATTGCACACTCGCAGCATTAAAATATAATATTAAAAAAAAACAGTACTTATTTATTCAATAATATTAGAAATGATTTTAATAATTATTTTCCTTACAAAATTTTAAAAGAATGGTGATATATGGTCGGAGGTGTTAATGTTATTCTTGGAAGTGCTTAGTAGTCAAAGCACCTCTGTAATTGCATTTATGCTTAGTAGATTGATAAAAATAATTTGCTCAACATCTAGACTTAAATATAGATAATGTAATAAGTTATATTCAAAAATAGTTTACGAAATTTTTTACACCGTTTTTCTATATTTGGTGCATCTCCTTCTGTATTAAGTGTGCATAGTTTATTTTATGTACACATGTTTTATGGATTGATTTCTTTCGTCACTTCAAAAGCTATAATAAATTATTTACACAACACTAGTTCAAATAATAGTTTGTATCCAAATAATCATTAATAGAGTAGTGGTCTATGTTGTCTTAGTAAACAAAAGTTTAATACATTTAAATTAATTTTTTTTATTTATTTACACAAGTTAAAAATTGTATTATATATACTTCTATTGGTATTCTTTTAAACTGAATGTGAAGACTGATAAATAAAAATTGCGGCAGTCTATTTGCTCTTATAATATGCCTAAACTGGTCTTTATAACAGTAAAAATATTATTAATTATTATGATGTTGGGTTTCGTAGTAGTCTCACTTATAAAGTCATTATTCAGCCATGTCTTAGATTATTAACTTTACTTATTAAGCCTCTATTGATAGATTGTAAATAAAGTTTAAAATGATATAATTGGAATACTTTTTTTTATAATTGTTACTTTTTTTAGAGTATTTTCTGAAGAATCTGAATTTGTTTTAAGTTTTAGCGTTGTCACATATGTGACAACCCTAAAATTTTTAAATCCTTTTAACTATATAGTCCAAAATATTTCAATTTTTTAGTGGTGCGTAAAATATTATCTCCTATTGCTTTGCAAGATAAATTTTGTTTACTTAAATTAAAATGTTTAAGCATTTGTTATTAAAATTAATAAATAAATTCAAAAATGTTTTGACTGAGTAGTATGTGTTGGATTATACAAAATTAGGTTAAAATATACTGTCACGAAAGCGTTAAATATTGATATTTTAACATTTTATTCCTCTAAGCTTAAGCATTTAACGTTACGCACGCATGAGATATGACTATCATGTACATAAATACTGTAAAACGTTGTGGTTTTAAGTTCAGTGGCACAACTCGTTTATAGTGCGTATATAAATGTGTACACCCTACGCAAGCGCGATTTGTTGGGAAATGTTGT